TCTTGAATTCTAGTAGTGCTATTACATCATTATCTTTGATAGTGTCTTTAAGAATTGATCATTCGTTAGTAGTCATACCCCAAAATAAAGTCACACCCAGGGTCGTGATACTATATAAGAAAAAAGGTCGATTTTATATTTTTTGCTTACGCAAAGTGTAGTAATTTTTCTTTTATCTTCTATAAAGAATATTTCTTTGATGAGCACAAAGTTATTCAATATATTATTCAATGGGTATTCAGTCGGTGTTTTTTGATAAGTATAATTTATGTTAGTGTTAATTGAAGTGATTCATGGACGTCGCGAATTCCATTTGAAATGAAAACTGCTTGATTCTTTTGAGGGATATCTCTAAATTTTCTAATAGTTTTCCATACATAAATCTTTATAATTTTTTACCTAATAAATATTATTACCATTAGAGATCAATATTTATAAATTTTTACCTAATAAATATTATTACCATTAGAGATCAATATTTATAAATTATAATCAATTAATATTAAGCTATTATATTATAGTTTACCATTAGAGATCAATATTTATAAATTATAATCAATTAATATTAAGCTATTATATTATAGTCTTTTATTAGTTTTTTATGATTTAGTCTTCTATCAATTAATGATATTTATGTATTTTTAGTGTTCTAACATATTAGTAAAATTATATGCAGTTACTTTAATTTAAACAATAAAATTAATTTTTAATCTATCATATATTTTTTAAAATTTTTATTATTTAACTGGATATTTTTAATCTGTTATTATTACTATTTTTACCGGTATCAACTTGACTATTTTTAGATTCTAAAAAGGGATAGTGAACCTTAAATTATAAGTTATATTTATATATCTTAAGGAAAAAAATGTCACACCATGTTCTAAATTTTCAGCTTTTTATTTTGTGTGATTTTAAACTTTTGAGAGTATTTTGTCTAATTTCTTTTTTGCTTTTTTTGTAATACTTTATGCAACGAACTGATAGTACGGAGATGTTTCATATATTTTATTAATCTTCTTTAAATTGTTGAGCTATAGATAGTTCATGGGGTTTTAGGATAGGATATAAATATGATTAGTATAGATTATAATTTAAATTAAATATTTAAAATAGTACAATGTAATTTTGACTATGGAAAGTTTTTCCTAAACTCGTACTTTTAAAGGGAGTATGATTTTTTATTTTCCTTAATTTTTTTTATAATTTTGAGAATGACTTTTGTCTCTTTAATTTATTTGGTAGATTTTGTAAATATCTTATCCACATTATATACATTTGTTGGTCTACGTTATTTCCGGGTTCGGCCTTTGGGGTAGACATTATTTGTCTCATTTATTTATTTATTTTTTATATACGTCCTTCATTTTGTAGACATTTATAAATTTAGTATTTAATAATTTTATTTAGATTTTCATTTTAATTTAAATTGTATTATTATCTTCATACTATGTATATCCAATAAGAATTCATTAATTTATCAACTTATTCTTACTTAATGGAATAATATTTGAATTCCAAGGGTATTTTTGTCTACCGAAAGATTTTCCCGAAGTCGTGTTTTTAAAGGGAGTATGATATGATGCAATCTACTTTCCCAATCAAATATATCAGGTCTTGATGATTTTTTCTGGTTTTTCTTTATTTTTTCCTTTTTTCTCCGCTTCCTTTTTCTTTTCCTTTTTTTCTCTGCCGGATATTTCTCTATATTATTTTTTTAGAATTTTCTTTCGGTATTTTTTATTTTTTTCCTTTTTTTTCTCCGCTCCTTTTTTCTTTTTCTTATTTTTTCTCTGCCGGATATTCTTTTTCTTTTTTATGTTTGTTTACTTTCCAATCAAAAAAAAAATTTAATTTAAATGTATTGTTAAAACTCACATTTTTTTAGAATAAGACATATCTCATCGATGTTCATGCAATTGCTAAAAGTTATAGAATCAAATATAATTTCAAAAAAAATATAATTTCATTATGCAATAATTACAAAAAAAATTCATAACAAAATATGCTATGGATCAAATAAACATATAAAATTATCACTAAGATAATTGCAAGCAGGGTCAAAACTATCTTGGGATATCTTGTTAATGATGCACAAAGTGCATTTGTGAAGGGAAGGCTTATTTCTAGCAACTTTCTGTTAGCTCATGAGCTCATCAAACACTATGGAAGAAAGCATAACTCTCCAAGAGCTGTCCTAAATATTGATTTGAGAAAGGCTTTTGACACTATTAGCTGGGAGAGTATCAAGTCTATGCTTACTGGTTTGGGGTTCCCTAGCACTATGATTAACTGGATCATGGAGTGTATAACTACACCAAAATTCTCATTAGCAATTAATAGAGGACTGTATGGCTACTTTCAGGGAGCTAGGGGTTTAAGGCAAGAGGATCCTCTTTCCCCCTACCTTTTTGTCATTGGTATGGAATACTTGTCAAAAAGACTAAGTGTTTTGAAAGATGATTGATTGTTTAAATTTCATCCAAAATGTTCAAGGCTGGGAATTACACACCTGATATTTGCAGATGATTTGCTTTTATTTAGCAAAGCTGACTTGTGCTCAATTACCAAAATAAATGCATGTCTTCAAGATTTCAGCTTGGTTTCTGGTCTGGAAGCAAACTTTAGCAAATGCTCTGTGTATTTGAGTGGGGTTGAGGATGACATCAAAACCCAGATTTGCAACTACTTAAATTTTTCAGAGGGTGTCTTGCCTATGAGATATCTTGGTTTACCTCTGAATTCAAAGAGATTGTCCTATATTGACTGCTCTTCTTTAATTGGAAAAATTCAAGATAAATTTCAGTTCTGACAGCAGAAAAGGAAACTGTCATATGCAGGTAGACTCCAACTCATTAAATCAGTTATCCTTGATATTCAAACTTTTTGGATTAGCAACTATATCTTGCCAGTTAAAGTATTAGAGAAAATTGATAAACTCTGCTCTGACTTTTTATGGGAGAAAAAAATTTATCTAGTTGCATGGAATACTATCTGTCATGGGAAGAGACAAGGTGGATTCGGCCTTTTTTTCTGCAAAAATGTGGAATTATGCTGTTGCTACAAAGTTATTATGGATGATCCACCAAAAAAAAGATATTTTGTGGGTAAGATGGATTCATGGCAACTATTTACAGAATTGCAATCTTTGGGAAGTTCAAAGTAGAGTGAATGACTCTTGGATGTGGAAGCAACTCCTCAGGGTGAGGGATGTGCTGTTGAATAAATTTGGAAGCTTTACACTGCTAAAGAATACCATTGATGACTGCTGTTATAATGGTAAACTTCAACACTCTGCAGTATACAAAGTTCTAGTCCTTTCAACTCATCAGGTGAGATGGTATAATATAGTTTGGGATAATTCCCTCTATCCTAAGTACTCTTTTAGTGTCTGGTTAGTTTGCCAATCAAGGCTTCTTACCATGGATAGATTATGCAAAATAAGGATTTTGAACTCAAATCAAAACTGTTGTGTTCTATGTTCCAGTCATCAACTGGAAACAAATAGACATCTGTTTTTTGACTGCCAGTTTGCTGCTGAAATTTGGAACGGGGTAATGGACTGGTTGAAGTATAAATGGAGGTCTTGTGATTGGAACATGATCATTGGTTGGTACTCTAATAACTTGAAAGACAAGGGTCCGATAAAGAAATTGAAGAGGATGACACTTGCGGCTGCAATTTATATGATTTGGCAAGAACGAAATCTGAGAATTTTCCAGAGCAGAGCCAGGAGATCAAATCAGGTTCTCCGTGATATCAAAATTTCAATTTATACAAAAGTTCTGCATGATAGTTCCTGTGTTCATATAAAAGATCTCACTGTGGTTTTGTAATTCTTCTTATTGTTTACCAGATAACTTCTGGTTTTTGTTATGTTTCATAATGTATACATTTGGAAATGAATAAGAATTCAGTTCATTTACCAAAAAAATAAAATAAAATGAAGAAATATTTTAATTTAGAAGCTATGAGAAAAACTTGCCATGAAGGTAATTATTTTTCAAGTTAATTTTTCGAAATAAAACCAATAAATCATTTTCCTAATGTAGAATAATCACAAATATTACGATGAAAATTAATGTAAAATTTTTGAAAGAAAATATTTTTCCTAATGTAGAATAACCAACAAATCTTTTTCTTTTTTATGTTTTTTTACTTCCCAATCAAAAGATATTTTAATTTAAATGTATTGTTAAAACTCACATTTTTGCAGAATAAGACATATATCATCGATGTTCATGCAATTGCTAAAAGTTATAGAATCAAATATAATTTCAAAAAAAATATTATTTCATTATGCAATAATTACAAAAATATTTCATAACAAAATATGCTATGGATCAATTAAAATGAAGAAATATTTTAATCTAGAAGCTATGAGAAAAAACTTGGCATGAAGATAAATATTTTTCAAGTTAATTTTTGAAATAAAACCAATAAATCTTTTTCCTAATGTAGAATAATCACAAATATGACGATATGAAAATTAATGAATTTTTTTGAAAGAAAATTTCTTTTGATTGGAAAGTAAAAAACATAAAAAAGAAAAAGAATATCCGACAGAGAAAAAAATGAATAAATAGAGAAATATTCGGCTGAGAAAAAAAAGTAAAAGAAAAAGGAAGCGGAGAAAAAAAAAGGAAAAAAGAAAGAAAAAACCGGAAAAAATCATCAAGACCGGATATATTTGATTGGGAAAGTAGATTGGATATATATATAGGAGTAAAAATAGGAGATTTGTTAGGCTAATTGATTCTCATAATTATAGTTAAGAAAAAGTAACTTTATATCAATCATTAAAAAAAATCAATGGACTAAAATGAAAGTAGTAGCATCTCCATTATTTTTTTTTGGGAGAGGATCCAAATCCGATACAAATCCTTGTCTAACCGACTCAAATTCTTATTCGTAGTTGGACTCAATCAACATACGCTTATATATTATCCTCAATATACGCGCGCTATGTATCACCTTCTTGCATGCGTTCTCTCTTTGTCTCTATCTCTTTCTTGCGTTCTCTCTCTGCCTCTCATTGAAAAAAAATTGTACAATGGCCGGCGTCTACAGTTGCTTGGCTCCGTCGCCGATATCTTTTCCATTACTAGCTCCCTTGTCAATGGCCGGCGTCAACAGTTGCGTTCTCCCTCTGTCTCTTGCTTGCGTTCTCTACCTTTCTCCTTTGCCTTTCAAGCCTACAACTAAAAATTCTCGACTGAATGCATGCTTCCTTCCTGCAACAAGTAGATTTCATCATGGCGTCGACGGCGCCAGGCGATATCCTTGTCTTAGAGTTTCAACAAAACTGCCAAGGAGAGTAGAGCCTGCGGTGCCGCTGAAAATCCTACGTGCAAAACCCAAGTGTTGTCCAGTCCACGTTAACAATCCTAATTCGGAATTCATCAACAATATTTCAAGCGGTGAGGATGATAACCAGAGTTGGATATCACGGGTAGAAAAGACTGCACGAGATTTTCTCGAACCAAAAAGGGAACGCTGGGTAGTGCCATGGGGCATGGGAACAGTTTTCCTATTCTTTAATCTTTGTTTTGCTTGGAACAAGTTGCATGGCCACAAGATATTTCCGTTGATTGACCGTGTGGACCCCGCCTACCATGATCCCTTGTGGCTCCTCTCGACGCAGCCTATCCAAATCGCAATCCTTTACCTCTGCCTTTATCGGTTTAGACCCTTACCTACGGATTGCTTGCACTTCAGCATCGAAGGGAACTGGCTGTTCGATCTCATTATAGCATGCCGCTTGTTTCCTCTTGTTGGACACATAGATTCAATCAGTCACCACTTTTTAGGGCCCACCCCAGTGGATTACTTTAGTAGCTTCGAACAAGCAATCAAATTTCGTGATTATCCAGCTGCGGTGTTGGGAGTACTTGCGGGCACGGTGTGCGCTCCGATCTGCGAGGAGATTGTGTTCCGGGGATTTCTGATGCCATGGCTCTCGAGACATATGCACCCGTTTTGGTCTATCCTGCTGAGTTCACTTTGTTTTGCAGAAATACACCATGATCCGGTCTGCATGCCGTCTCACACAGCTTTTGGAATAATAATGGCAGTGGTTTTCTCAAGGTCAAGAAACTTGCTGCCTCCGGTGCTCCTTCACTCGATGTGGAACATGTTTTGTTACGTTCGACAGATCCAATACCTTACAGGTGCTTTGTTTCGTGATTATCTCCAAATTCTTGAATCTAATGTCCTTATGGTCACTAAACAGGTTGCTCGTTTTGCAGGAATTTATTGGAAGTCAAGTTGGCATGCTTGAGTATGCACGATGCAGATAACAACTCCAACCGTGTAAGGAATTTGAATGCAATCAACAGCAGCTATTGAGCAAGATTTTATCAGAGACGCTTTTCTTTTTAGATTTTTGCAGTATGAAACGCAGGACATTAAACACAGTTTTACTAGTTTGCTGTTTGGTTCGTTTCCTTGATATAGAGAAATGCAATTCCATGTAAAGAAACACAAGTTTTGAGTTTTCCAAACTTTTCCAAGAAATGGATTGTTTTGCTTTGGTTCGCACATAAAAAATGGTGGGAAACCAATGTATTTATTTTTCTTGTGTTTGGTTCGCATAGAAAAAAAAAGGAAAACTTTTGTAAACAAAGCAGAGAAGGAAAAAATCTGACTTGGCAGAGTTTTCATCAATTTTACTTGGTTGGGGAAGGAAATCGGAGAGGGAAAAAAATCTTAGTTGGCGGCGATTTCAGCGGAGTTTTCCATCTTCCATTCGAGCGAACCAAAGCGGTTCAAAGAAATGGACGGAAACGAAAAAGCTGACGTGGAGGGCTAAAAATCTGACGTGGAGGGGTTTTTTGAGTTTTCCACCCCTTATAATAGCGAACCAAACAGCCCCAAGCGTTTCTTTTCTCTCTTTATTATTTGTCATTTGTCATTCTATTCTTACATTTTGATTATACATGACCAAGGGGAAATTTTGACGTAATTTGCGTGTATGACAATTGTGTTAAATTAAAAGAGCAAATTATGCTACGTACTAAAGTTTTAAACAGTGCTTAGCTACAGTTCAACTTTAATGATATGTCATATATAGGCGTTGTAAAAGTAAAATACCAACGATCGATCCTTGACACAGATTAATTTTCTCATTTTTGTTCTTTTACATATATAATCCCAAAGTTTCACCCCATTTATTTTAACACACCCTTTTCATTTAGTCATTGGTCTCTTAAATCATTAAGAACCCAAAGTTTTGCCACACTTATGATGAAATCCAGTCTCTTGCTAAAAGTCTTTTTTTAATAGATGTCAGTCCCTTGATTGTTTCAAAATACGAAATTTCTCCCTCAAATCACCGAAAATGTTTTTTGCCTTCAATTCTTAAGGGTTTTTTTTAAAAGAAATTGATCATTCGTACTGCTAAAATCTATGTTTTAAATTGTTTTAAGTTTAGTCCCTTCAATCAAGGGTAGAAGCAGAAACCATGTAGGCTATTTGAAAAGTAATTATGAGAACTAGAGGACCTAATAGCAATTTCAATGAGTTGGGGAATTAATTTGAAAATAACTTCTGAAATTGGGGGCATATAGCAGTTTCAATGATTTGAGAGACTAATTCAAAGTATGAAACATTTGAGGGACTAGTATAAAAAATTCATTGAAAAAAATACATTCCACCTATAAACCCAAAATTTCATCCACGTTTTCCTACTTTATAAACCCAAAAAATTGTTTTCCTACTTTATAAACCCAAAAAATTATTCAGTAGCTATATTTCTCTATAACTTGCAATATCTTTTCTAAACAATTAGATGTAGAAAGTAACCAAAGAATCATCCCAGTTTTTCTACCTATAAACCCAAAAAATTATTCAATAGCTATGTTCTTCTATATCTTGCAATATTTTTTCTAAATAATTGGCTTTTTTACGCTAATGCCACAACATTGTGAACCATAAATGCATTTTTGCCTATAAACCCAAAGACTTACCACCATTAATTTTTATTTTTCTTTCTTATGCAACAGCAGGCTTTAAAACTGATAAATTTAAAGTGGTGAGTTGCATATTTTACGATCTAAAAACCTAATTATTAAATTAAACTAATTAAACACTCAAATAGGTACTCGGAAATTAGAACGTGATGTTTTTTTTTCAAAAAAGTTAAGACAAAGATGAAATAGTTACCCGTTATCGCTAGGGTTGATGGTGTTTTGGTATTTTCGTGTAACGTGATTGGCATCATGGCATGTGACTCGTTAGGGGGTGTTTGGTTCAATTTCTAGAAATTATAGGAAATGTTTTTCACTTAAAATATGATTTACTTGTATTTCTTAAAAAAATTATAGGAAAAGTTTTGAGAAATCAAAAAGTACCAATTTTCTTGTTTTTTGTACTTTGCTTGTTTGGTTCAAAACAAGAAAATGGCTCATAACTTTATAGAAAATAACAAGATTTGGTAGATTTTTAATTAAATATGGTATGTGTCAGATTTCTGGTGATTTCCTCTCATTTTGAGAGGAAATTGTTTTTTAAAAAATTTGGTAGGTTTTGATATTTTATAGAGAATATTTCTGTAAATTTTTTGTTGAACCAAACATAATTTACAGAAATCTCTAAAAAAAATTTAATTACAAACTTACCATTGTCACATGCTGGTGAGTATAGCGAATAAAAAAAAATCATCACCCTAGCATAACTGGCGTTGCACGTTGTAGGAAGGCCTATCTACATCTCTCTCAATAATAGCTTCATTTAACCCCGTAAACAGTACCATTAAAGGCAATTTCATCATTAATTAAACTATTATTACATCCGATAACAACTTGCATGACCGCTTTTGGAAGATACCCGGATGAGGGCAGCCGCGGACGTGAGGCTACACCTATAAAAGCCCCCCTAGCTGCAGCAACACCTATAAAAGTCTCTCTGGCACTTCGCTCTTCTCCTCCTCGTAACAAGGCCATCAAGCTTTCAGTTAGGAGTCTTAGTCAGCAAGTTCTCAAGAGCTCTTAAGCATTTTAGAATAAAAAATTATAAAAATAAGTATCGGGAGGTCCTCCTTATTTTATGGAGCTCCAACAAGCTCCTAGTTAGGAGCTCCAACAATATCAAGAAAACCCCTCTTCTATTTTAATTTTTTTACTCATTACTTTCAATTATATTTAAACCTCTTTTATTTATTTTCTAACCGTTGGATATGGCCTACGAGGGAACGCACACGGTCTTCGAGGTAGTCCACGGTCTTCGAGGGAACACACACGGTCTTTGAGGTAGCTTGCGGTCTTCGAGGTTGGGCACGAAGTTCGAGATATCGCAAACTTTGACCGTCAATCGACGGATTCCTATAAAATTCGATGCATTCTCACTTCAACCCATTATCTCCTAGACAAAATGTCTAGCTCATCTAGCTCTAGCGATGATGAAATGATGAAGACGTTCTTTCTTATGGGAGTTGCTGTCGTCAAGGAAGAAGAACAAGAGAAAGGTTAAACTTTAGTTCAACACAAAAGACGTATTGTGCTCCATCGATACCGACTGGAAGGCCACAATCGGTTGTTCTAAGATTATTTTGCTGACGCACCAACCTATCATCTTTATTATTTTCGTCGAAGATTCAGAATAATGCGTTTGTTAATCCTTCGAATCCACGACGCTATCGTCGAACATGACAAGTACTTCGTCCAAAAGAGGAATGGTGCTGGACAGTTGGGACTATCTAGCCTTCAAAAGATTAGTGCAGCTATGCGGAGGCTCGCATATGGAGCATCCGCTGACGCCGTTGACGACTACGTTCGGATCGGTAAAAGTACGTCGCTTGAGAGCATGAAGTGATTCGTTCGATCGATTATCAACATCTTTGGGGAGGAATACCTTCGTTCACCGACTAATGAAGACGTTGCACGCCAGCTCGAGGAAGATTCACAACGAGGTTTTCTTGGTATGCTTGGGAGCATCGACTGTATGCACTAGATATGGAAGAACCGTCCAACCGCCTGGCAAGGTATGTATACTAGGCATTTTCATGAACCTACAATTATTTTAGAGGTTGTAGCTAACAAAGATCTTTGGATATGGCATGTCTTCTTTGGACTGCCGGGGTCTCACAATGACCTCAATGTTCTACACCGTTCACCGTTTTTTGCACAACTTACGGAGGGAAGAGCTTCACCGTGCAACTATACTGTTAATGGCCACTAGTACATTATGGGATACTATCTCGCCGACGAGATTTACCCAGAGTGGTCCACATTAGTGAAGACTATTCCAGCACCGTGAGGAAACAAGCATAAGTACTTTGCTCAACAACAAGGGAGCGCAAGAAAAGATGTTGAGCGAGCTTTTGGCGTGTTGCAAGCTCGATTTGTTATTATACGTGGACCAGGACATTTCTGGCAACCTAGTGTGCTGAAAGACATCATAACAGATTGCATCATTATGCATAACATGATCGTTGAATATGAACGAGATTATCAATTGGATAACAACTTTGACTTTAATGATTTGTTACCAGTCGTTGAACCTTCTCATGTGCGGACGGTGCCTCTAACAGAGTTCATCCAAAATCATCATCGGATTAGGAACACGTAAACACATAAATCATTAAAAAATGATTTGATCGAGCATCTGTGGTAGCTCAAGGGATCCATCGTCGAGGATTATGTTTATTTATGTCTAATGTGATTTCAGCAAAGAAGTTCGAGTTGTTGTACTATGCCAATTTCCTTTTCAATAAAGTAGTTGTTTTTATTAAATGCCAAAATTTTCAACTTCAAGTAGAATCATAAATCTAATACAAGATACTTAGGAAGAACTAATTAGGATGCGATACGAGTACAATCATAAATATAATACAAGATAATATATGATAATTAAGAAGAACTCTTAGACATCCACCTCTCCAATATCTCTGGATAACGCATTTTAAAGTATTGTCGTTGAACTAAAATGAGTGTTGAGAGATCCATCTTCATAATATCGTCATCTCGTTTCTTCTGTTTTAACTCTATTTTTTATTGGTGGTTTGCTTCATCCACACGAAAGACTCTCCTATGATGGACGTAGCGGACTTAGAGTTTTCCACATTTTGTTTCCTCTTGAGATTTGCCGCTTTCCTCCCTTCAGGCCTTGCTAACACATCATCCGAGTCAGTGTTCAACTCAATGGGGGTCGCTGGCATGGAATTGTTTGGTGAGGAATCAGAGTTTGTGGTTCTTCTCGGCTGTGATCGAATCTTATTGTAAGTTTTCATTTGTTGAATCCACTTTTGGTGATGACTCAACTCAACCCAGCAATGATCAAACACGAATGGTTTACCATAAAGAGATTGGTATAATTTTTTTACTTCTACAGTCTACACAAGAGTTAAATTTAGAATAATCAAACATAATTAAACATATATATTCCTGTCTTCAATGCTATGTTGTTTACATAAAAACATATAAGTCAAATATTTACCCGGTCAATAATTCCCGTACCATATCTTTGTC